CACTTTATGATGTCATAACGATGTTTTGAGCATTAGCCAATAACCAACCAAGGTAACCCCCCCCCACTGTATCCCCTGAATCTCCTCCAAGAGTACCATTGTGCTATTTTTAACCAAATATATCTCAGAGGGGCGTGGGGAGTGGCACCTTATTTTAATCTAAAGTAACAGACAGAGAATCAGCACTTTTGAAACAGGGCTGAAACAGAGGGGATTATGGGATGCTACAATGCATGATCTGTTTGGTATTTCGAGCCAAACACTTCAGAGACATGTTTTGTATATAACTGAGAACTATTAATATATTGATGCAAAAAAGTATAGTAGGGGACCTTTAATGTGTCTCTCAGGGGTGTGGGTATCCTAGCCTCCCGGCAGACACAGTAGATTTCCACTCCGGGCTGATGGCGAGTTGCCTGTCGTTTACCTCTGTGCCATATTTAGCCTTTGGCGGCTCTGGCTGGCCTCGCTGCCACCTTGCTGCTCTGTGCCTCTGTGCAGGCGCTAGACGGGGGCCTCTCCCATCTCCTGGGCTGCTGCTGCATGGTGGGGCTCCCCTGGGACTGGGTCATGGGCCCCGGGTGGACTGGAGAGGGAGGGGGGGCTCGTCCGCTGACTGAAGCACACTAGCGGTCTTAAGGAGCGCTGCTGAGGGGAAGTCCTGTGCTTTTGATGTAGGGACCTCAGAAAGCCTGTTTACTCAGGGGGGGGGGGGGGGGGGGGTGGGGGGGGTGCTGGCCCTCTGCACAAGAATGCCTGTGTCATGACGGGAGCGGCGGAGAGGAGGAATGCACTCGACAATCCCAACACTGTAGGAGCCGGGCCACAGCTGAGGTGGCAGCCATTTCTTCCTATTTATTTTAGCTCCCTCTCCACTCAATCAATGGCCCTGTCTGCGGCCCTAAGCATCCCTGGAAAAATGAGAAATGGCCTGCACTTTTATTTATGGCTTGAGATTTCCAAGTGTTTGCCAGCAAAGTATCTTCACCCAATGTGGATGAAATATAGAAAGTGTGACATTTATTTTAGAGTTAATCATTTATTTATTCAAGGGAACTTCAGAGAACATGACGGGGCCGTGCCTCACCTTTCATAGTTCAGTCCTTCATTTAATAAGTGCTGGAAAAGAGGTCTATTAATTTGACCTGCAGAGAATCCCAGTAATCTCTACTATAATCTCTAGTCTGAAGAAATATTTTCTTCCAAGAGTGCTGTTGGACAATAGCAATACGTAATTATTCAATGATAATAGAGGATTCGGGCTTGAAGACCAGAGAAGGTTAATTCCAATGCTGAGGGCAGATGCGTCCATCAGGATCTACATTACTCTGCTCTGGAAGGAGATTTGTTTTGACTTGACCCTCAGCCAAACGTTCTAACACGGCAGTACTAGAGCTTACCGAAAAACGTCTCTTTAATAAACAAGCTTCTTGTGAGTCCATGTGACCTTTGTTTACCCAATCTGGTGTGTTTGTAAATGGGCTGCTTGAACCTACATGAACCCATTTTCGTTTTTGTTCCATGCCTGTAATGTCTTGCTGGCAGACTACAGGCGGAGTTTTATGGATATTATCGAATGAAAGATTAACCCCCTTGGCCTTCAGTTGCTGTTCAGGTTGAGGATCAGATTGAATATGTGCTGGCTGTAAACAAATGCAAAAGGACACCAGGGGGCTCTTCACACACACACAGTCAGGGAGTCTGCTATATAATGAACTCTGATATAATGTATACATATGAGAAGAATTTGCACCAAGATATGCAATAGAAAACAAATAATATCACACATTTTACATTTGTGTCAGGGAGCTTTACAGTTTATACAGAATATGAATGCAAATACGCCACCCTTTGTCCTTAGACCCTCACATCGGACAAGAAAACACTCCCAAAGAAACCCCACAGTTAATAGGGGAAAATGAAAGAAACCCCTGGGGTCATCAAATCATATCAGTGTGTACATTTAAGCTCTCAATCTGTAGATCTACTAACTATCGTTATTACTTCATGTTGCTCCCATGGAGTTCTGATTGTGTTTGTACAAAGGACTGAAAGCCTGCACTCACATCACAGAGTGACATTGTGTTCTGATTTTCTGTTGGATTTTTGTTTTTTATCCGCAGTTAACAATAATTTTAAGTTAACACATTACATATTCACAGCAAGTACTTGTAAAATGTAATTTGTAATTACAAAAATTAAGCCAACACAGAAAATGGAGCTCTCCACTTAGCTGATGGAAAAATTCACAAAATAATCATATTGCAGTTTTTCTTTCAATGGAGATTTTCAGAGTTTGTTCAACTGTGTTTTTTATGATTGATGGGCAAATGTTTAGCTTCAGTGAAGTTGTAATGATAGAGAATGTCTCAGAAAACATTTGTGAAGCTCTGTTTAAAAGAACCCTGAGTGCACTCAAGGTTCAGTCTCAAACGAGATTTAAATGAACCAAATACAAAACTAACAACAAAAAAAATGCGGTTGAGACCAACCAAAACAAACAGAAGGCGTAATCACAGCCTCGCTGTTGGCCCGCAGCTCCAGCAAAGTAAAACACTCTCTGATGATTCATCAACGGGCCAAGATGTTCCCCACCAGCTTTTCTGGCTGCATTTACAAGCAACCGAGCTGCTAATGCCCGAAAGATTCAGCACTTCTGCCTCAATGCAGGGGAAAATTGAATCTGCAGTGTGTCTTACTGTAAAGGAAAGTGTAAAGTAAGGGATATCCGCTGCCACCTTATCACTGCTCAGAGTCCTGGGTTGCGTTCCGATAATCCAAAAATCAGCTCCTAAATTCTAACCCTATCTCCTATTCCTTGACCTCTGAGTGAAACGTCACGGGGTTAAGGGATAGTGGATAGGAGAATTCAAAAGGACTTAGGAGAAGAGACCGCGGTACTTTAGAGAATCCGAATGCACTTTCACTATCCGACGTGTTTATGATGCGCCAGCGGACGTCATGAATGTGCGTCTGCTGCTGTGGGGAAACCATGGAAACTACAGTTTTCTATACAGCGGACTACAACATGGATGTTTAATAAGAACGAGGGACTACTGTAAACTCATCTAGAGACTCTGCACCGTGCTCTGATGCTGTTGTTTTATGCTTTATGAACGTGGACAACAGAGAAACATATTCTTCATGACCAAAGTTGGAATTGAAATAAAAAAGGAAAGTGAAACTTATACTCGTCACCCTCTCCCTCCGGTCCACATTAATACAAATGATCCCAATACGTATGATTGTATGATGAAAAGATCTTAAAATCAATACAAATGTATTTATTATAAACGTTAGTCCTTAACATCTATCACTGTGTACATCACCATTCAAACATCTTTTAAAAGTTGAACAAACCCCACACAGCTCAGTAAAGACTGTGAGATGTTGACTTTATTTGATCATTTCAGTAAAAACTAACGTTCATATTTCTCTTTTTGATTATAATACTGATGAACGTTCAGAAAAAAGCACTTTGGCAACTTACCACATACGTTTTAAAATGCTTAATAAGCACCGTAACTTTCATGATATTATTTCTCGGTCATAATCGGTGGTTTCCGTGAACGGCCGACTGTTGAGTGACGGCAAATGCTGCGGCTGCAATGCATTGTGGGGCAGCATTTTCTCCTCTCCTTTCGGTTAGGGAGGTCCAGTGGTTCCTAAACTAAAAGAGGTTATAAAGGAAGTTTGAAACCTCCTTTCCTTTCATTTGGAGAATTGGAACGGCACTTATCATGGCTGCCAGTGACGTACTTCCGGGTCATTTCACTCCGTTAGGAAGGTTCCTAAGCTAAATGGACTATTGGAATGCAACCCTGTACTCTCCTCAGGATTGCCGAAGGGGCCAGATGAAGGATTTCATATCAGCAGTTGGAGCTTTGACAGGGATAGCCTCATCTTCTGACTTTAAGGCTAAGCAGTATTAAGAGGGGCTTGCCCTTCCATTAAAAAAAAAAATATTAGCATTTTTTGGATGTCGGAATCAGAGCCAGTAAGTGCAGAGCTGTCAAATCTGATAATTCACTACATTTTCAAATCCAGAGGAGAGATAAACTTTGAATTCAAAACTTATTTTAATGTTATGTAGCTACAGCAAATTATCTGGGACTTGTAAAAATGCCTTAAAGGAACTAGAAATGTGTGTTTATTACTGGCAATGAATCACGGTTTAAATGGCAATGATCAGCAGCAATTTTACCAAACTGTCACAGAGCAGCTATCTGTGTAAACTGAAGCCCTTTCTAGCCTCATGACCTGATCAATGCTGCTCAAACAGCCATCAGTGCTTGTACAGAATGAGTCATCGCAGAACCATTAGTTGTTAGTGTGGCACAGTACTGTGCAAGTTCACTCAAGTTCTCCATTTCATTTCTTTAAAACCATTGATTTGTGTGCACAGTGAAAAACTGAAACTGAATATTTAAATATTTGTATGTGTATTGTACCTTTTACATCATATGAAACAGAGATGTTACAAATCATTTGAGAAGATGTAAAACAAATATTTGGAGAGATGATGAGGGATTTGTTTGCAGTCGTCAAATATAATAGACCCAGGACACCAGCAGATTTTCACCTCTAACACCAATGCGCCTTTTTAATTCTAAAGCATTTATTTCTTTATTCTAAAGAAGACTTGCAGCTACATGACGGACGTATTTAAATAACTCAACCATGAATAATTAAACTATTTTGTGAATTTTAACAAACGTTATATCAACATACAGTATCTAGTATACTTCTACAAACTTACTTACTTATTGTCATGTATTTGTATATTATTTTATTTAGATATATTATTATTATATAGTGGGAGCAACTCCCTATTAACCCTATTTACTTATGTGGGATCAACAAAGTATATCTGATTGTCATTAAGCATTTCAAAATAAAAGCCCCATTTCAACTGTTTGGTTCTGTTGGTTAGGTGATTGTTTGTTTTGTTCTGCTTATTCTTGCATTAACACTCCTACCCTCTCTTGTTCCCTGACCAGAACCAGAGCTGGATGTACCTGGGACTCTGGACTCTGTCGCCCGGCAGGTCAACGAGACCGTCCGCCGCCGCCGAGATGCCGGGGAGGACGACTACAACATCGAAATCCTGCTGGGAGTTGACGACTCGGTGGTACGGTTTCACGGCAAGGAGCACGTGCAAAATTACCTCCTCACTCTCATGAATATCGTAAGCATCTTTTTTTTGTTTTTGTCACTAGATTTGTTTTTTTTGTTGCAGTGTAATGCAATTTGTCTACGTGCCGAATAAACAGGCAATGCTTGGTACGACATTTTCTTTTCAACAGTTTTGCACGAATGGTGCGTTCACACGTGGACTCGATGTGATTTCTGGGGGCGGCGCGATTACATGTAAAGCCAATGCAAAGACGCGGATACACGCAAATCGCGTGGCGTGTTCTCGCGAAAGCCAATCAGCGGAGAGGATCTCAGCCTGCCGCCACTGATGTTGAATCAGAAAACCAAAACATCAGCCGTTAGCTGTTAGCACACAGAGCTCACAGCTCCTCATATCTGTTCAGAAACTGGAGGAAAGTTATACATGTACGAAACACAGACATTTGAAATTCATAAGGCATGTAGACTGCATGTAGTGATATAACGTACGAAGTTTAAAAGAATAAACACTGTCCAGATCCAGATATAGAGAGCCAAAAGCCTCTCTGCAGTTCCTGTATGGTTCCACTATCTTTCTCCTTGAGCATTTCTTAAATCAGTGTTTTTAAGAAAAGGCAAATGTGTTCGGGGATTACGCCTCATATTCCAAGATAAATGCACTGGCTTTGAGGAGTTTGAACTTTTATCTCATATCTTCGTTGAATGGGGATTTTGTGAGAATACAAAAAATGCAGCCTTAATGAAATTACCCCAGCAAAGCAGCACATACTCCCATCATCATAACTTGATTTTCCATATCCATGGAGTGCCCGATTAGCTGATTGCTTGGCCTCGTGATTGCCTGTTTTTCTTGAGTACCTAGCCGAGTGTTTAACAACTACACACTCAACACTGAACTTCCTTAAGGTACTCAGAGATATACCTACCTACGGTGAAGTTGGTTACTCCAATGGGTGGTGAGGATCATGTTTGAATATATACCTACACGTATACAGAGACTCCTTCCATTTTATTTCAAATTATTTAGTTGCCATGTGTGTGTAATATATTGTGGGCAAATTTATACAGTATCAGCATGGACCTAAAGTGGTTGGAGCAATTCAACATTTCAGAACAACTTAACCTGCCAGTAATAGTCATGTTTAGCTATCTGCAAGACTAAAAACAATCCTTACTTTAAATATTTTTTGGCCACATTTTGGGCTCAACCAATGGAGCAGCTAGTCGTAGAGCTTGGTTTATGTCATATACCATATGTGGTCAAATGTGGTTGTTCGGGACACACCTTCTGTGTGAGAAATACCACGAGGAGGTTTTGAGAGCTTTGCCAGGTGTTATATTTCTGTGGACAGATTTGCAGATATATACTCTGCACAAAACATCTCTGCAAGGAATGTCTTAATCTTGTCAGCCTCATAGGGAGCAGAATGACAGCAGGAAGTTGGTTGTTGCTACTTTTTGAAATAACAGTCATTTACTTGAGTAACTTGAGTTGATGAGTATTGACTTAAATGTGTAAAGTTAATTGTATTGTGTTGTTTTGTTATATTCATATAATTTCCTTTGATAGTATCATTGTGTCGGAAGTAATTAGAAGTCAACTTAAAATACTATGGTCTCAAAATACTAATTCTGCATTCTGTTTCAGAATAATATTAAGGTCACCTATTATGCAAAATCCACTTGTTCATGTCTTTATACATAAACATGTGTTCCCTCTCTGTAAAGAGATTCTGAAAGTTTCAGGAAAAAGGATTCACTCACTTTTTGTCCTGATCCATTTATATAAAAACCTGTCTGAAAAATGAGCTGATCAGATTTTGGCCACTTTATGATGACATAACGATGTTTTGGGCATTAGCCAATAACCAACCAAGGTAACCCCCCCACCTTATCACCTGAATATCCTCCTAGAGCACCATTGTGGTATTTCTAACCAAATATCTCGCAAAGGGGCGTGGGGAGGGGCTCCTTATTTTCATCTAAAGTAACAGACAGAGAATCAGCACTTTGGAAACAGGGCTGAAACAGAGGGGATTATGGCTTGTTAAAATGATCTGTTTAGTATTTCAGCCAAACACTTCAGAGACATCCCAGCTAGAAATGTTTGGTTCTAAAAACATTCTGAGAATGTTACCATTCACTTTTCTAGGAATGTTTTAACTGGGAAGTTTTCTTTTGGTTCCCAGAATGTTCTTCTGAAAGGTAGGATAACGTTCTCTAAAAACATTCTTAACACTAGAACCGCCAGAGGTCGCTGTATACCTAAAACCGCCAACGGGTAAGATGTACCCGCTATTGATTTTCAAGGTACAATGTTCTTTTATTTATCATACAGAACAGTGAGTTTTGATCGCACAGTGATGAAACTTATACCAATAGAATCTGTGGACTCTCAGCTTTTCATATGATAATTTGTGCAGATAGCATGAAGTATAAAATATCGCTACCAGTGCGGATTTAAACGCTTGGTGTTAGACTTGTGTTGTGTTTAGGTGTTTTTTTTAATGCGACCAGTAGCTATTACAAGTCACTGTCGGTGTCACATGTACTGGAGGGGACCCAGAATCAGACTCGGAATCAGCTGGTGAAAGTAACATTTTTTATTAGAAAAGGGGAGCTGGGAGTGGAGGTTGGTTATGGCGGCAGTGGGAAACAGTTGTTCCAGGGTGGGTGGAGAGGCCTGGCTGGTCTTGGGAGTGTGGAAGGCCTTGGATTCCTCCTGGGAGAGACATAAAAATGAGTGTGAGGCAAAAGCAGGCAAAGTTGTCAAAGAATATGCTGGCAAAAAGCTAGAGCGGCACGCAACAAACCGTCCACGGCAACAATCCGGCAGGGAATGAGTGCAGGCTGCAGGCTTTCATAGTGTGGCTGATGAGCAGGTTGCAGGTGTGGTTGATTGGAGATTGCTCCCAGCCGTGTAGAGCAGACCAGCAGGCAGGGGGGGGAGGAGAGAGAGAGACACACGGGCCCTTTCTCATTTCTCTAACTCCCCTCCTCGACTCCTATCCTCGAGACTTAGTCCCGCCCACAGGAGATGCGAACGGAGGAGTCGAGGAGGGGAGCCGAGGAGAGAGGAGGGGAAGCAGCAGGCGGTTAGAGAAATGAGAACTCCTCTCCTCTGAGCGGTCATTTGAAAAATACGTCCATTAATGATGACAGGAGGCACAGCAGCCCTCTGTCTGATGGACAGATGTGTTCATGACCACTTATATATTTACTTTGATTCATTCACAGTGCGGTATAATGAGACAATAACAGGCTACAGATGCGGACACATACATACATATACACACACACATATTTATATAAATATATACCATTTCAGAATCAAACAGAGCACTCTCATAATAACGTAACACTATCAGAGACTGGATATATCCCCCCCCCCCCTCTCCCCTCTCTGGTCGCTACAATGAGGGAAATAAATTACGGGCCAAAAGTTTTATTTACAAGTATTAAAAGCAGAGGACACCAAACCAACTGAGACCTGTCTGTCCGCTGCATCTACGCACTGTACAACACACACACCTACACACTGTACAACACACACACCTACACACTGTACAACACACACACCTACACACTGTACCACACGCACCTACAGCTCCTACCTAAAGCATATAATCAGGCTACAGGCCACTAAATGGTTTTAGAAAAATATCGACTCTTTGTTTGTAGATATCTACTAAACTACAGCAAGTACAGAGAGTAATGTAGGCCTGTTATACTGAGTGATATATATTTTACACACTGCTCTGCTTTCTGCACGGACCTCACAGCTGTTCTCTCTGTAAACATCGCGTTGCGATGAGAGCAGTTAATAAAATAATATCCAGGGGATGCATGCAGAGCTGTCATTGGCTGAGATAAGTCCGGCCGTGCGTCACGACTCTTTGAAACATCTCTGTTCCCGGAAATGCATCCACAAAGGAGCCGTGGAGGACCGTGGAGGACCCATCAGTGTATCCTCGGTTAGAGCTCCTCCAGAGAGCGTCCTCGACGCTCGATCCTCGGTCCTCGAAGTGCATTTAGAGAAATTAGATGTCCTTCAACATGGCGCGCTAAAATTCATTTCCGGGTCACTACCGGAGGACCGAGGAGTCGAGGAGTCGAGGAGGGGGATTTGATGAAATGAGAAAGGGCCAAAGTATCAAACACATACAAACACTAACAGGGGTTTCAGGGACGGGCAGTGACAGTCGGTCCGTTCCTCTATATGTCTGTCGGTCTCAAATCTAAAGGGTGCAATAACGATTTGTATCCAAAATGCATAAACAGCGGACACTGTTTATACGCAGCCCTCACAAACCACACACGGCCAGATAGCTTATCTAACAGTTAGAACCTACATACGAGACACAACCTATATAGTCAGAAAAGATCATTTTTCTGATATTTTACACATGATATTATGAATACTGTGGGCCTACATACCATAGTGTGATTATAAGCGCATGTGAGTGAATATTGGCATGCAAATTTGTTTTTATACGTCCTATTCATTGTCGCAATGCGCTCATACATCTTAAGAAAGTTATCACCAAAAATGTTTAGAATGTTTTTAGAGAACGTTATCCTACCTTTCAGAAGAACATTCTGGGAACCAAAATAAAACGTCCCGCTGAAAACGTTTTAAGAACAGTAGGGCATAAGCCTCCCCAGGGACTGGGAATGAGTTTAAGAGGATTGTTTGCCACTCATACACACATTTTCTGATAGGCATTGGATAAAGTTTATTTCTAACCCTGATGACATGTAGCGGGGTAGAGAAATTAGATATGCAACATAAAAGCAGCGAGCCGTCAAATCAAACAAAGGAGGCTAATTGTTGAAAAGCAGGTTATGATTTTGGATCAAAGAAGGCTTCAGGAGGAGATATATGAGCCAGCAGTGAGCTGGATTTTTCCGCCGTTTTATCGGGGCGATAGCGAGTGCGTTGCAGCTTCATCCCTGCTTTCTTAGTCCTGGCTGTCTTCCATGTGAAGGCGTCGTCTCAGAAATTTGTTCTACATCCTTTTCAGCCAGCACTGCAAATGCTTATTCTTTTCA